TCCACCAAATGGATGTGTCAAATGCTTTTCTTCGAGGTGACCTCTTTGATGAAGTGTATATGACTCTTCCTCAGGGGTTTCAACTACCTACGGGATTTACTGTGCAGGGGGAGAAACCAGTGTGCAGGCTCACTAAATCCCTATAAGGATTGAAACAAGCCCCTCGACAATGGAATGTGAAACTAACAGATGCTCTTATCAAATTGGGATTTGTTCAAAGCTATGCAGGTTACTCTTTGCTCATCAAGAAAACTGGAACATCTTTGGTGATATTGTTAGTATATGTTGATGATATAATGATTACTGGCAATGATCTTAGTCTTATTCAACAGATTAAAAGAGTTCTACAAGCTGCTTTCAAGATGAAAGACCTCGGAGATCTCAGATATTTTCTAGGCATTGAGTTTGCTAGATCATATGAAGGGATTGTGATGCATCAAAGGAAATACTCTCTTGAAATCATCTTTGAGGCTGGACTTGGAGCTGCTAAACCAGCTTCCACACCTATTGATCCTTATGTTCAATTAACTACAAAAGAGTATGATGAAATAAATGGTACAGGAAAAGAAGACAATCTACTGGAGGATTCAGCTATATACAGAAAACTAATAGGAAAGTTATTGTATCTCAATGTCACCAGGCCAGACATAGCCTCTGCTACACAAACTCTGAGCCAATTTCTACATCAACCAAAACAGTCATACCTCAATGTTGCTATTAAGGTGGTGAAGTATGTCAAAGGCCAAGCAGGGCTTGGTGTGCTGTTTTCCAGCAAGAATAACAAACAGTTGAAGGTCTATTGTGATTCAGATTGGGGAGCTTGCTTACACACCAGAAGGTCTGTTACAGGATTCATGGTTAAACTGGGAGACTCTCTAATATCATGGAAATCCAGGAAACAAGGTACTATTTCTAGGAGTTTAGCTGAAGCTGAGTACAGAAGCATGGCAAGTGCAGTAGTTGAAGTGGTATGGATAACAAAGTTGTTTAAGGAACTACATGCAGAGATTGTAACTCCAGCTACTATCTATATTGATAGTAAGTCTGCTATACAGATTGCAGCAAATCCAGTACTACATGAAAGAACAAAGCACATAGAGTTGGACTGTCATTTTATAAGGGAGAAAATTCAGAATGGTTTAGTTAAAACTGAGTATTTACATACAACAGAACAAGAGGCTGATGTACTGACTAAGGGTCTAGGAAAGTCTCAACATGAGTATTTGTTGTCCAAGTTTGGAGTATTGAATTGTTCACTCCTACCAACTTGAGGGGGAGTATTAAAGATGGTATTACTTAGTATTCTAGGGGTCATTATGTAAATACTAGAAGTTAGTGGATTAGATGGAAAAGAGTTAGTTAGAGGTAGTTACATTAGATTCCTTTCTTATTGTATATATATGTACAGATCCTCTACAGTGAGGAATTAATGGAGTTCATATGAAATTTCTACTTCTCTTCTCTAAGAACATTCTAGACTAACAGAATTGTTCTTCAACCTATCTTCTTCTTGATAGCTTACATATTTTTCCAAGTAACTCATGAGTAACGAATATGGTGGTTATCCAGAAATGTAATCGCCACTAAAATGTTTATTTGTTGATCAATATTTTGTTTGCCAATCAAATTTTTATTATTTCTTTGTTAGGTCCAAATTACTCAATGATTACCGAAAGACACTATCATCATTGTTTGTTGGATGACATTTTTCCTCTTTTTATTTTGTGAACTTTGTACAACTCAAAATGTTAATGGATATACAAGAGTAGTGTGTTTCATTTATTAATCTCTCGATAAAATGTACTTCATCCATTTCATAGTAATTGTCTTCCATAATAAAAATAGTTATTCCAATTTAATTGTATAATTTATAAAATTAAGAGAATTTTATTATATCTTTCTTTTTCTATCTTAGTATCAAATAATAAAACTTTAGTTTAAGAAAATACATTTGCAGCTAAAGCTTTCTTAAAAGATATGTAAAGTCAAGAGGATTTAAATTATAAACGGAGAAAGTAAAATCTCTTGCATATTAAGGAAAAACGACATTGAAAGACACAAACTTCGGGCAATCTCTATCTAGTCTAGATAGTGTCAAGACTTTTGTGTCCCGTCGTTCGATCAGATAAAAATGTTGTCACATACAGTTGCAAATCTATTACTCTCTCTATTTCGAAAAGAGTGACTCAATTTCCTTTTTTAGTATGTTTAAAAAGGAATGACCTATTTCCTTTTTTGACAACACTTTAACTTTAACTTTCCACGTGGCATGTTTAAGGCCACAAGATTAAAGGGCATTTTGGTACATTTGACATAACTTTAATTTAGAACCACAAGATTAAAAGTCTTCTTTCTTTTCTTAAACCCCGTTCCAAATCAAACTTGGACTTTCTTTTTGAAACAGAGGAAATACTACTATTTCACTATTAGATTTAATTTACATTTTTATTTCTGTATCATGAATTAATTTTAGTTTTATTAAAAAATAAACCAAATTAAATCTGATGAATTATCCTTTAATCATAAATAATAAATAACAAAATAAAAACAGTGCTACTTAGTTGACTACACACTAAAATAAAATGAAAATAAGAAGTCCCAAATGCCTAGGACTTATTTAGCCCCAAAAATATTTGGGAAAATTTGAGAAAATTTGGAAAGTAGTGTTTCGTCATATAACTTGGCAACTATATTTGACAAGTATTCCGAGTTTGCATATACTAAAAAAAATTAGTAGTTGGGTCAAGTTCTAATATTTGGGATATTTAAAAAATTCAAAAATTATCCCAAACTTATATATTTTATAAAAATACCCATTATTTAGTAATTCCAACTAATAATTGCTACTATCTTCTCCAAAAAAGTTTGAGTTCTAATTTGAGTGATAAAATTGAGAGAAAAAAAGAACAATTTGGGTTTAATGAGTTCTAATTATAATTGTATCAGTGACAAGTTTGAGTATGCAATTAATTTATTGTCTTGCCTATAGTGTTATTTTGTTATTGTTGATTGTTATCAATTATATTATACTGTTATTTTTTAACGGAACATTTTATTATAAAATGATGATATGAATTTATGGATATTTTTAAAAATTATGGGGTATAAATCAAGTTTTTTGAAATAGTCAAATATTTTTTAGAAAATTTGAGATCAAACACATGGCAAAACTTCACCCAAATATAATTTACCAAGAATATTTAAAAACTTAGGGCTAAACGCTAGTTATATCAAAATTGAACTATGATAAATCACCTTATTATGTACATGTTTTTGTATCTTCATATGACCATTAATTAAATCACCTAACACAATTATACAATTTATAAGCAAGCTAGTAATAACTCTGCAACACTTGCTACAGTCATTCTCTTATTGAAAAATGAAATTAGGGAAAAATCTCAATATGTAATTGAACTTTGAAAAAAGGTTTATTTATATTATTCATTAAAAGTTTGACCCATTTATGTCATTTCTATTTAAGAAAAGGTCCATCTATGTCATTATGTAATAAGTTAACTGAAATGGCATAGATGAGCCAAAACATTTAACGAATGACATAGATGATTATATTTGAGTCTTTTCTCTTTTAAAAGAAATGATGTAATTAATAATGTGGTTGTATCGTAATTTACCACCTGTAAAAAAATAATTTCATAAAATCGAAATTATTTTCAGCTAACAAATAATAGCATGGATGAACCTTTTATCAAATAGAAATGGCATAGATGAGCCTAATTTTTTTCAAAGTTCAATATCATATTTGAACATTTTCCCATAAAATTATGAAATAATGGTGTGTTTTATTGATTTTTAAGTGATATAGATACAAGATTTAAACTTATGAGTTTGTGTTAGTAGATATAACTCATTTGATCTGTTAATATATATTTCCTTCGTTTCATATTAGTTGATCATCTTACTAAAAACGGAAAAGGGTCAAAAATACTCATGTACTATTCGAAAAGGTTTAAAAATACCCCTCATCCACCTACAGGGTTAAAAATATCTTTCAATCAACCTTTTTGGTCCACTATTACCCTTTAAACTAACAATCTTATATTGGTCCACTATGTGGCATCTTTTTATTGGATAAAGTTAATTTCCAATCCACCAAACTTTCTCCTACTCCACCCGACCCATATGTCACCCCTTGACCCAAATCCAATTAAAAGATCCATCAGAAATTTTAAAAAAAAATTGAATCATCTCTTGTCCCCCTAAACCTAATATCTTATTTTTCTTCTTCTCCTTTTCTTATTAAGCGATATCAAGATCAATTTCACCCAAAATAATCAGATTTTCGATGCAACATTTTATTGAAGTTGAAAGATTGAAGATGGGAACATTGATTTTTGAAGTCTTTTCTCTTCTAAGTAGGTCATTTTATTCTTGAGATGTTTTCTGAGTTTGTGACACAACTGGAAAAGAGGAAAAAATAGACAGTGAAGCAGAAGTTGGAGAAAGAAGTTAAAGTTGTGCTTACAAATATGTAAAAATCCAACTTGAATCTTTCGACTTCAATAAAACGTTGAAATTGGGTTTGGGTTAAGGGGTGACATATGGTCGGGTGGGGTAGAAGAAAGTTTGGTGGGTTGGAAATTAACTTTATCCAATAGAAAGACGCCACATAATAATTAATAATTATAATAATTAAAAAATATAAGGTTGTTAGTTTAAAGGGTAATAGTAGACCAAAAAGGTTGACTGAGGGGTATTTTTAACCCTATAGGTGGATGAGGGATATTTTTAAGCCTTTTTCAATTAGTACAGGAGTATTTTTGGCCCTTTTTCGTACTAAAAATAGTTATCACATATTAGTTGTCCATCTTACTAAATCAAGAAAACACTGATTAATTTTTTCCTACTTTTGCAATCAATTCTTTTTAAAAAGTTTTCAAACTAATTATTGTAGTAGGTCACGCCCCTTTAATTTGATTAGGTAAAAGTCAATATAATGCATATTATTCAACTGAGGCTGTATTATGAGTTAGGTGTGCGCCGTGTGCCAATATATATTTGTGGGTATTTTTTAGCATTACAACAAAAATATGATAAATATGGAAGAAAATAATTTTGCTAAGCTAGGGGGATCTTTGCCTGTACCAAGTGTTCAACAACTGGCCAAAGGCTCACCGGAAAATGTCCCGGCGCGTTACCTCAGAGATGATGATCATCTACTTCTTGTTCCTCCGATGATGAAATTTGATCATTATAATATCCCAATCATCAACATGGAAAGCTTGCTTCGTGGCGATGAATTCGAATTCAACAAGCTTGATTCTGCTTGCAGAGAATGGGGATTTTTTCAGGTTAATTTTTAATACAAATATGAGTAGTAATAGTATTTTGGTTTTCTGCTATTGTTGGACTGATAAGTACTCATTCATCTTTATCTGTAGTCTGTATAGTACTACGTACTTTCAATATGGAAGTATAGTGAAATCGTGATATATTAACTAATTCTTGGATGAAACGATCAAATTATAAAAAATTCTCTTCTATCAAGCTATTTTTCCAAAGTCATTAAGAAGGGCAAAGTTTAAACAATACTCCCTCCGTCCCTATTTAGTTGTCCATATTTCCTTTTTTAGTTGTTCCTATTTAGTTGTCCATTTTGACAAATCAAGAAAGGACAACAATTTTTTTCCTATTATATCCTTATTTACACTTCTTGAAAATTTCTAAAAGTATATGTTGTTTCCCTCCAATTTATTTCACTTGAATTCAAAGAAGTGGTTGTAATTTTAAAGTGAAAAGTTGTCATAAGGGTAAAATTGTAACTTCACTGTGCTAATCATTGTTGCCTTAATCTGTATGCCATTTCTAAAGTGGACAACTAAAAAGGGACAGAGGGAGTATTTTTTTTTACTCCCTCCGTCCCTATTTACTTGTCCATATTTCCTTTTTTGGTTGTCCCTATTTAGTTGTCCATTTTGACAAATCAAGAAAGGACAACAATTTTTTTCCTATTATATCCTTATTTACACTTCTTGAAAATTTCTAAAAGTATATGTTGTTTCCCTCCAATTTATTTCACTTGAATTCAAAGAAGTGGTTGTAATTTTAAAGTGAAAAGTTGTCATAAGGGTAAAATTGTAACTTCACTGTGCTAATCATTGTTGCCTTAATCTGTATGCCATTTCTAAAGTGGACAACTAAAAAGGGACAGAGGGAGTATTTTTTTTTAGGTTTATCTAGCTTTAAAGTAAGTACATATTTTTAATTTGAATTATATCACGTATATGTCATTTTTAATTCAATGAATCAAACAAAACACCGGATCTAAATAATTTTTTATATTTATTTTTAAATCAATATTAGTCACCTTCAGGTTGGTACCTTATATATAGCAAAATAACATAGCAAAATATATGGACTAAAATACTTAATATTTAAAGCTTCTTTTTTACGCAAGGGTGATATTTTAAACACTTCATGACAAGTGCAACAAATTAATATGGCTAATGATGCCGGCTAATAATTAAACATATTTATTTAAAAAAATGAAAAATTATTTGACTCCCAAACAGTAATCTGAAGGAAGTAATAAACAATATTGTACTGGGTTTTATATTCTCTTTTCTTTTTATTAATGTTATATAGATTATTCAGATAAATTACCTGAATTTTATAGTAAATATATGAAAATAAACAATTTAATAATGATGACATTGATAATTAATAATAAGGAAAAGGGTCTCTTGTAGTACTTTTTAGCAGTCGAATAAATTTCCCATAAAGAGGAGATCAAGTTCATATTTTAATTTTTCAAAATAGATTTGAATTATCCTAGATGTATGAAACTATTTTGCTATTTACTTATTGGTACAAATTGAGATTATTAAATTATGAGAATTTATAATAATATTTATTTTTAGCTGTATTTATATATTTTTAATAAAATATTATCTAAGTTTTAGTTATCAAATATCTTCAATGATGAGAGGTAGCACGTAAAGTGAATAAGCGAGATAAAATAATCGATAATGATCAAGATATATAATAAAATGGTTCATACACCATTGTAATAAAAGAAAATTGAATTAAAGAAGATACTAATATTTATATTAGATAAATTTAAGTCCTCTTAATAAAGTTGTCTTTAGGCCAGAAATTTCATTGAGCCGCCCTGGCCTATAATCAATTTGTGTTATAAGATATGATTATGGACGGACGAGTTAATGAAAATTTTGTGTTATATATTTCTCCACTCATTTTTCATTAAACCTAGCAAGTTCATAAGTTTTTCGTGTGAAAGCACTGCTATTTGTTCTTTTTACTTACTGATTCAATCAAAATATACATAAGGATAGCTACTAAACATTTTTTTACAGGTGATAAATCATGGAGTGAGTGGTACACTAGTAGAGAAAGTGAAGAAGGATACTCAAGATTTCTTCAACCTCCCACTAGAAGAAAAGGAAATGTTGAAACAAGTGGATGGTGATATGGATGGTTATGGACAAGCTTTTGTTGTTTCTGAGGACCAAAAACTTGATTGGGCTGATATGTTTTTCTTGACAACTCTCCCTTCTCAATTCAGAAAACAACATATCTTCCCCCACCTCCCTCAACCATTCAGGTATTACTATTGTCCCGATTAATTCAGATTCTCATTGCATAGAGTTCATTTAAAGGCATATTTAAACTTGAGAACATATATGTTTAAAGGTAGAGGGATCTCATCCATGCAACTGTAACTTTAGTGGTCCTCTTTTGGTTTATTTGGTTCGTCATAGTTTGCCTTGACACAAACAATGAAAAATTTGGAATTTTGTTATATGTCTTGTTATGGCTAACAACTTTGAAATGATACATGTTCATTCTTTTTTATATGAACATATAATAAAATACTCCCTCTAGTCAAAGTATTAATGAGTTGTTGCTCGGACTCTTCAAAAACATCATGTCCCAGAGTAGAGTAGTGTATTTCTGGAGGACTCAAACACGAGTGCCAGTTATTTTCTTTATTATCAGTATACATAAGTTAATTTGAGAATGTGTTATCTCATGCCAACGAAAAATACAGGATATTGGCTAAGAAGTTGTTGTATTGAAACAGAGGAACAGTGGAACTATATGCAGTTGAACTGAAAAAACTGGCTTTAAAGATGATTGATTTTCTAGCAAAAGCATTGAATATGGATGAAGAATACATAATGGAACTGTTTGAAGAAGGGATGCAATCAATGAGGATGAATTACTATCCGCCATGTCCACAACCAGACAAAGTGATAGGACTTACTCCTCATTCAGATGCTGTTGGCCTCACTATTCTCCTTCAACTAAACCAAATGGAAGGACTTCAAATCAAGAAAGATGGCATGTGGATTCCTATTAGTCCTCTTCCTGATGCCTTCGTTATCAACATTGGTGATATCATGGAGGTAATTAAGCTGCTATGATCGCCTTTACTATGTTGCTCGGATTCTGCAAAAAATGTTGTTGTATCCTGATCTTCCGAAAAATGCACTACTTTTTGAAGAATTCGAGCAACATATAGTGTAAATATTCAAAATCTTGGTACATCAATTAGTAGGTATGAGAGGATTAATGTCGGATCCTTAAGGACAAATGATTGATTTACCTGTTTGAAGCAATTTAATTGAAGGACTATGCATAACAGAATACATCATTTCTTGCTATGGAGCGCGTAAAGGAGTATAAGATGTTGTATGACTACATCTATTTTTATTTCTGTGTTAACAGATGTGTGCTGGTTTTGCACATCAAACTGTTATGTACTGTGTTAAATGAGAAGTATATTCTATTTGCAGATAGTGACAAATGGAGCCTACCGTAGCATTGAGCACAGGGCAGTGGTTAACAGCGAAAAGGAAAGACTATCAATTGCAACATTTTACAGCACAAAACTTGATGGACGAATTGGTCCTGCTCCGAGTATCATTTCTGCTGAAAATCCAGCAAAGTTCAGAAGTATTGGAGCTATAGATTATTTCAGAGGTTTATTTGCTCGTAAACTTGATAAGAAATCATACTTAGATGCTATGAGAATTGGAAATTCTGAAAATCCAGTAAGTTGAAACGCGACAGTATTGGACCTATGTATCCTCTAATAATTGTGACACTATGTATTTTTCTTCAGAAGTTGTGTTTCATCAACATTCAGTTACTAGTTTGATGTTATAATCCGACAAAGAGGCCATGATCGACACATTGAGGGACAAAATTCACTTTGCAAGTGTACCAATTTTGTACAAAATATATCAGAAAAGAATTTTATCAAGAAAAGTAAGACTGTTCATTCACAATATTTTCTGATACAAATACATCAGCAAATAAAAAGGAGGAGATATGTATATATGATATGGAAAAAAAAGGAAGACAAAAATAAACCTAATCTAATTTTTGGTCACAAGATGAAGCAGTAATCAGGCTGAAGTCATATGCAATGCTACTAAGGATGCATAAACTCCATCTTTTATGTTCATAAGAGCATCATGCCTTCCTTCCTCAGCAATGACTCCATTCTTCACAACAGCAATGACATCAGCTCCTTTGATTGTGGTTAAGCGATGAGCTACAACCACAGTCGTCCTATTTACCATTACTCGATCCAATGCTTCTTGAACTATACGTTCTGATTCTGCATCTAAAGCACTTGTTGCCTCGTCTAGCAAAAGAATCTTTGGATCCTTCAGTATAGCTCTTGCAATAGCTATTCTTTGCTTTTGTCCACCTGATAATTGTATTCCTCTTTCCCCAACCGATGTATCATATCCTTGAGGCAATGAAGATATAAAGTTGTGTGCATTTGCTGATTTTGCTGCTTCAATGATCTCTTCTTCTGTTGCATGCCCTTGTCTGCTGTAGGCAATGTTGTCACGAATTGTTTCGTTAAACAGTACTGGTTCTTGACTAACCAGGCCCATTTGTTGTCTTAGCCAACTTAGCTTGAATTGTCGGATTTCCACACCATCCAAATATATCGATCCTGATTCAGGATTGTAGAACCTCTCTATTAGGCTAATGACAGTTGATTTACCACTTCCACTCTCTCCCACTAGAGCAACAGTCTACAAAGAGAACCGAAATTTTTTTTTAAGCCAATTGAGTAAAAGATGAAAGTACGCTATAATGTAGAGGGAGTACTCGAAAATACCTTTCCAGAAGGGATAGTTAGGCATAAATCCTTGAAGATTTGGACATCCGGGCGAGTTGCATACCTGTAACTCACATGTTTGAATTCAATATCTCCGCGAACAGCAGCTAGAGTAGTACCAACATCAGAACTTGAGTCAATCTCGGGTTTTCTGTCAAGAATGTCAAATATAGAGGCTATAGAATCCTTGGCTTTGCTAGCATCTGGAGCCATTCCTGTGCTTTGTGTAACCCCAACAGCTGATAGAGTCAATGCAAAGAAAACCTGCAACATTAAAAATTTCTTTCAGAAAATTAATATCGATACACGAGCTGAAAAGGAAGAGAAATCCGAGAGACTTTACCTTAAAAACTTGGCCAAATGATGCCAATCCATGCTGAATAAGGATGGATCCTATGTAGAAACAGAAGGCATTTGTACAATACAGTATAAAAGAACCAAAGCCTAAGCTTGCTCCACTAACAATTCCAATCTTCACTCCTTGCTTCATTGGACCTTCACATTTCTTTTGGTACATGTCCATCACTTTCTCCTCTGCACAGAATGATGCCACTGTTCTTATACTCCCGACAGCATCGTTTGCTATTTGACTAGCTTCTTCATACATCACCTAGAAAAATGAGAATCCATTTTTAAGTTAATTCAAGCACATTTTAATGTAATCTATTTTTCAAAGATGAGAAAAGACGGAATACCTTTGCATCAGCACTAAAGCCTTTGTACATCTTGGTCTGGAGGAATCCTTGCACACCAATTAAAGGCATCACGAGAAGGATTATAAGTGCTAAAATCCAATTGGCAGTGAAGGCTATCACGAGGCCGGCTACTACAGTTGCTATGTTCTGTACAATAAGTGCCAGTGCATCACCCATAAGAGTCCTGACCGTGGAAGCATCAGTTGATAACCTTGCACCAATTGCACCACTGCATTCAAGAAAATTTCACATTTTTAGGTTACAACACTCTGTTAAGTATTTAAGATAGAGGGGGGGGGGGAGAGAAGGCAAGATTTGATTTGTTACAAACCTTGAATGTGCAGGATCATCGAACCAGCTGATTTCTTGGTGGACTACTTTCTTAAATGTCAAAGAACGAATTCTCTCGATCAATTTCCCCCCTGCAACTCCGAATAAGTAGTTCTGGAAAGGTACAACTAGCAAAGTTACCACACCAAGGCCAAAATACATGAGTGCCCAGAATCTTGATTCACTTCGCAGCTTTTGTGGTGGGTAAAAGAATATTTTAATAGCTGTCGATAGTAAGAGTCCAAATAATGGGAAAATAAGACCATGTATGATTGCAGCCAATGATCCAAGTAACAGATATGGAAGCTCAGGTTTGTTTAGTCCAGCAAGCCGCCTAATGGAAACATTCTTTCGTTTCTTTAAGCTTCCCTTATCTTCTTTTTGCTTGTCCTCATCTCCTATTTCTGCTTCGTGAATACCAACTAGCCCAGGAACAGTATAGTTGAGTGTGAAAGAATGTCTAGATGATCCCTGGCTTGTTGATCGCCTCATTGCTGACAATTGCTGGCTTGATGACCTGCTCAGGTTATTATCCAAATCCGTGGTTAAATCCACCTTCTCAAGGTCCATATTTTTCATGTTTTCTTCTTCTCTATTCCCTCCCTGCATTCGCACAAGCTGGGAATATGCCCCATTTGGATCTTGTATCAACTCAGTATGTGTTCCTATTTTCATAATAAGGGAAAAGAATGAATTTAGTTTAGTTATACAACTAGAGTAAAGCCTGATAAAAGTTCTTTAGAAATATTACCTTTCTCTATTAGTTTTCCAGCATTCACCACCGCTATAAGATCAGCATTTCTAATGGTTGTTAGACGATGAGCAACAACAACGGTTGTTCTATTTGCCATGACTTTTTCGAGTGCTTCTTGCACGATTCGCTCTGATTCAGCATCAAGTGCACTTGTAGCTTCATCAAGGAGGAGTATTCTTGGGTTCTTTAAGATAGCCCTTGCTATTGCAAGTCTTTGCTTTTGTCCACCAGATAGTTGTGTTCCATGCTCACCTACCATAGTGTCTAGCCCCTACAGAACCCGCAATGAAAACGATGAAACTCCCATTTGTTTGCCAATTTAACAGCTAATTGTAGGTGTGAACATGGAATAAAGGGAAAATCATATGTTACCTGAGGAAGTTTATCGAGGAACTTAGCAGCATTAGCAAGCTCAATAGCTGTCTTAATCTCATCTTCAGTAGCATTTTCTTTACCATAACTGATATTCTCTTTTATGGTTGTCGCAAACAGGATAGGTTCCTGACTTACCAATCCCATCTGTTGCCTTAGCCATTTGAGTTGAAATTTCTTCAAATTGACACCATCTATTAATACTTCTCCAGCCTCAGGATCATAGAATCTCTCCAGTAAACTGATAACTGTGGACTTCCCACTTCCACTTTGCCCAACCAAAGCTACAGTTTTGCCATTAGGAACGATAAGTGAGAATCCACTAAAGATCTGCACATCTGGCCTGGCTGGATACCTAAAGTACACATCTTTAAGTTCAATTTCACCCTTGATGTTTTCCAACACAACCCCATTTGTGTCCGATGTGTCAATCAGAGGCTTCCGGTTGATTGTCTCAAACATTTTGTATGCTGCAGCCTGTCCTGCTGCAAACGCGTTCAAAGATGGCGTTGTTTGGCCTAGAGACCTGCAAATTGATAAATAGAACAAACAAAAGTGTGTCAGTACTCTTTAGCCTACACCAATTTTCCAATACAACAAATCAAAGATCCTTCTTTAAACAGAGAATTATATGCTTACATTCCACCAGTCATTATAGCCATAATAACATTGATGACATCTCCACCATTATAACCTCTCTCTATTATCAGCTTGGAACCATACCAAACAGCAAGTCCATAAGTAGAAAAAACAATGAGCAAGACCGTGCCAAGTCCAACGCCTGAAACAAGCCCTTGTTGGACAGTAGAAGCACAGGCAATTTTCAGTTTGCTGTCATACTTATCTATCGCCAGCTTCTCTCCGGTGAATGCTGAAACCTGAAGTCATCCAGATTTTCAGATTAAAATTGCAAGTCTAATAAACAATTATACATGTAGAACTATTTGGATCAGGCTTTTTACTGTTCTGATTGCTCCTATTGTTTGCTCTACTACATTTCCAGCTTGTGCATAGGCAACTTGTCCGCGACTTGACATTTTGGACATGATCAATGCCATAGCTCCTCCAGCAATGACAAGAGCAGGTATGCAAGACACCAAGACTATCGACAGAAGCCATCCCTTAAAGAACGCGACTACGAACCCTCCAACAAATGTTGAGATGAATTGAATGAACTTCCCAACCTGGAATCATTCAACTTAAGTTTGTTATGATTATTTTACAAGAAAATAACGAAAACTAAAACATTATTCGGTTTGCAGTAGCATTTACGCGCACCTTTTCACCCAAGGCATCTTGAATGAGAATAGTATCTCCAGACATTCTTCCAATGACTTCTCCTGTTGTTGTTTCAGTGTCAAAAAAGGCAATGTCCTGCCTCAGTATTGTCTTCAAATATAGTCCTCGAATTCGAGTCGCTTGTCTCTCTCCAGTAACCATCCAACATGACATTTCTGCAATGTTACAAGGGGCAAAAATTTCAATATTGAATGCATAGGTTCTTTCCATTATTACCATACTTCAAAAACTCAAATTTACTAGTGTTATGTTATGGGGGTTCATTTTACACATTGTTCTTGGTCCTTAGATTAGAGTCGTGTTATCGTAGAGCCAGAATTTTCATCAGAAAGAATTCAAATTTTAAAATAAAATTATTAGGACCTTATAAAGCATAATTTTACTTACAAAATTCATTAGAACTTGAGGGTACTTGATGACATTGAACCTTCGCCAGAATAGCACACTTCTATTCCGAGGAGGAAAGATCATCAAATTAGTCGAGCCCCAAAGTGATTACCATAAAATTACCTTTTTCTTTGGAATTTTATTAACCTAGATTTTCCTAAACATGGTGGGGTTAGTAATTGATTGAAAAAAAATGTGTTTTTACTACTTTTGTC